TCAGGCTATATGACGGATCCGTATAGCATACAGGTTCGATTTCTGTTGGAGGACGAATATTTTCTATGAAAATTTCTCGGATATTCAGGGCAGGTAATTGTTGTTTAATACTGTTTATTATAAACAAAGCATTTGTATCTATAAAAAAAAGATATATAAACATAAAAATGTCTTAAAATAATTGTCGGACTTTGTCATTTCATAATATATATATATATATATATATATATATATATATATATATAGAGAGAGAGAGAGAGAGAGAGAGAGAAAAGTTATATGTACTGAGGAAGAATTTTTGGAGGACCAAGACGCCATGTTCTTCCGTGAAAGGACTGCAATTCATCGATGGACCAATTCATTGGTGTTAATATGAATTATAGTGAAAAACTTTTGTTTATCCAAATCCTTTTTGGAGAGACTTAGGACTTTTTGAATGACTCTCATATTCATGAAAAATGTAATTATCTAAACTTTCAATGGCTGCAGACCAAAAGGAAACGAAACTTTTGATTCCAAATTGTTTTTTTTTTATTTTCTGCTACTTATGAAGTGCTCTCATTATCAAAGCACATGAAAATCTGGGGGTACTATTTCTCGTGAGTACACATTATAAATCGATAAACTCGGAATAAAAACTTAGTAATGTCAATAATACGCAGTTTACATAAAGTGAAGAACTCCAAAATATTTGTGTGCTCAGAAAGTAATCCCGTCGTATCAGAAAAGCTATAAAATTAAATGAAAATTAGATTTATTTAAATATTATTTATCAAACATGTATTCGCCTTCATTTTCAACTTCTTTCTTTCTGAGTGTTCTACCATTTACGAACTGTTCTTTTGATCTAAACGGATGAAAATCTGTGGGAACCAATTCTGTGTATGAAGAATGCGAAAGAACTCTCCTATCCTAACGATCTTATTTTTACTCGCGTTTGTTTTGCAGAGTTTTCTGTCCTTTTATTGTCTTTTTGGATAAAAAAGCTATTAAACAATTCAGGAGATTTTTGATGTAATGCTTCGTTTACCCGATCAAGTTCCTGGCAATAAATGTCTGCAACTTCTAGAAATCCTTGTTAAAAGACTGCTGCAGATGGCGGAACGGGGAAGTGAAAACTCGTGAATAAACCAAGTTCCTTCTTTGCAATTTTTCCCAATTAAACTCTGAGATGCACTATAAACGACACAGTATCGGATAGAGATGATAAACTTTAGATTTTAGACGTAGTTTCAACCTGCTCTGGTTGTTTAGTTCCTAATGGCAAAATAAGGAATTACTTCCTAAACGTCCTAATACGTAGTAACAAGGTTTATTCTTCATGATGGCAAGTAAAAAGTCTTCATCAACGTCAGAGAGTCGCCTGGGGCGTGGATGATCACTTAAGTTAAAATCACTGTGACTAGATCTGCCAAACTACTTTTTGACCTTGAGAAGAACTGGGGCACGATCCGAATAAACCTTTTGAATGTTTTTGTCGGGGTTCCAACGCTTACTCCATTCCGAGATTCAGAGAACGTCATATGGCAAAAGTTCAACTTTTCATCGTCCATATTTGAAGCAATTACTTGTGGAAAAAACTTCAACATTCAACAAAATTTGACTCGCAACTGAACGATGCAAGGTTGCAATTTAGAACACACCAGAAATCGGTACCACAAAAAAAAAGAACAAAAAAAAAGAATCAAGTTGTTCGAAACATTTCCATGCTGTTGGCGACATCTTTGACGCTCTGAGGACGGTTTCTAATCTAAGAGACGTTATTACACAAGCCAAAGTTGCTGTAGTCAAGGGTGGCTAAAAACTTATCTTTGAAATATGTATACATTTTTGCAGCTAAAGTTATTTCGCTTTTTTGCATTTGTGTTCTTATTATTTGAAAGGAAATAGAAAATCAACTGCACTGTATTATGCAGTGTGTGACTTAAACGTGACGGACGTATAATTACGAAACCGAAAAATGTGCAGAGAGACCATGCAGATGGGTATGAACAAGAAAGAAAGCGTAAGAATTATGAAAAAATGCAATAATGATAGGAACAGAATAAAATAGATAGAGAGATAGATAGATACTTAGATAGATAGAAAGCAAGAAATAGACCGAGACATATAAAGAACAGACTGAGATAGATAGATACATAGATAGATAGATATAAATAAAGAAAGAGGGAAAGAAAGAAGTAGACCGAGATATATAAAGACCAGACTGAGATAGATAGATAGATAGATAGATAGATAGATAGATAGATAGATAGATATAAATGACCAGCAACAGATAAATAGATAGATAGATAGATAGGTAGATAATGAAAAGACTGAGATAGATAGATAGATAGATAGATAGATAGATAGATAGATAGATATAAATGACCAGCAACAGATAGATAGATAGATAGATAGATAGATAGATAATGAGATGAGACAGATAGATAGATAGATAGATAGATAGATAGATATAAATGACCAGCAACAGATAGATAGATAGATAGATAGATAATGAAAAGACTGAGATAGATAGATAGATAGATAGATAGATAGATAGATGATAGATAGATAGATAGATAGATATAAAAATGACCAGCAACAGATAGATAGATAGATAGATAGATAGATAGATAGATAATGAAAAGAAAAGATGGAAATAAATGACCAGCAACAGATAAATAGATAGATAGATAGATAGATAATGAAAAGACTGAGATAGATAGATAGATAGATAGATAGATAGATAGATAGATAGATAGATATAAATGACCAGCAACAGATAGATAGATAGATAGATAGATAGATAGATAGATAATGAAAAGACTGAGATAGATAGATAGATATAAATGACCAGCAACAGATAAATAGATAGATAGATAATGAAAAGACTGAGATAGATAGATAGATAGATAGATAGATAGATAGATAGATAGATAGATAGATAGATAGATAGATCGATCGAAATAAAGAAGAGAAAAGAAATATACTGAGATATATAAAGAACAGACTGAGATAGATAGATAGACAGATAGATATGAACAGACTAAGATATATTTTTGTAGAAAGATAAAAAATTGCCAAATTATTAATTATGACCAGATCGATTTACGACCGACATGTCGTAAGCCATCTTACTGATGGGTTACGATATGTCATACCAGATAATAATGCCTTTTCTGTTTTCTGTTGAACACATGATATACAGTGGCCTGGGAAAAGTTTTTAGCCGGGAGAAATAAATTACATCCACTTTTAAAATTTAATTACGTAATCCCAACTCAACATAAATAAACAGTATTTGGAACTAGTATAGAGTAGGTCCTCCATTTGCTAGTTTGCTTGTATTCTATTTTTCATGGATTTGATCAAATTATCAACAATTGTCTGATCCACTCCTTTAACAATGTTTCTTTAAGGGTTGCCACTGGCGTGATTTTGGTTGCACGCTCTCGAAGTCTTCGGTCAAGGTGCTCCCAAACGTGCTCTATTGGGTTCATGCCAAGACTTTGGGCTACCCATGGCAGTGACTTGGTTCCTTGCGATTCCTTCCAGGCCTTTGCTACTTTTCTCACGCTCCATATTCTTGAAAATGGCAGACATTCTTGTCAATCTGATTGGTTTCAAATAGTGGGAGTAGTTCTTTCTCTAAGATTTAACAGTATTTTGGACCATTCAACCACTCGTCAACAAGAATTAGCTTAGATTTCCCTCCAAACCAGAGAGCGACCCACACCATTTCTCCAATCACTCCATGTTTCATGGTCGCCTGCAGACATTTAGTGTTCCAGGTCTCATTCTAATTTCCCAAAACATAAACCTGTTTCGAATTCGAATATTGGCAGAATTTACTTTAATCTGACCAAATTACAGACTGCCAACATTCATAATCTTTGCTCTCGAATTCTCTCGCCCAGTCCATACGCCTATTCATGTTAACCTCTGAAATCAAGGGCTTCTTTCTTGCAACTCATCTTTGATAGCCTAGCTCTTTCAGAGACTTTCTCACCGCATATGGCCACATTTCCATGCTGTTGGTGACATCTTTGACGCTCTGAGGGCTGTTTCAAATGATTCCCATCTTCAGCGTCCTTTTCGTTCACTCAAACACGATGCTTGGACTTCCTGTGCGTTGTTCTACAAGACAATGGCTTTCTTCATTAAATTTCTTGACAATATTATTAAGCGTTTGATAATTAACCTGGAAAAGCCTAGCAATTTCACTATTTGACTTGCCACACTGATGCCATCCTATTATTTGCCCTCATTGAAATTCACCAATTTTCTTACTTCCGCGAACTTTCATTGCAAAATATAAGTCAACTATTGTTCATAGATGAGAGTAGTTTGATACTAACACGGTATTGTCTGAAAAAAAGAAGAGACGTTATTACACAAGCCAAAATTGCTGTAGTCGAGAGTGACTAAAAACTTATCATCATCATCTTGCGGCCTCAGCCGAGATTGAACTCACCAATACTGATTGGTGTAGTTCATAATCTTGTCAAATAGCCGAATCTTTGATGCTTCGCTAGGGCTATCAAGGGTGTTTTTATCGTGACACCATCACTAAATGGATTGCCAACCAAGGCTCAGAGAGACTCCATTCACCCTCATCTAAGAGCAGGTTTGAATTCAGAGTTTTCCTTCTCCTAGGCCAATTGCCATCCAAGACTATAGAACCTAGTCGGTCCTGCTATTTACCCATAGGGAGAAGAAAGAGGATTCACACCTTTCCCAGGCTTATCATAGCCCACTATAATGTTTCACTTATCCAATCAAGTTGCTGGCAATAAACATCTGCTATGATGGTCCTTCCATTTTCTAGTATTTTCCGGTAAAAAAAGAAATACTGAAGATGGTGGAATGTTTTTTTTCCGGTTCTCAAGAGAAAGCACACGAGGAGCCGAAAATCCTTCATTGCTAATCTTCCCAATCAAACTCTCAAATGTACTATGTAAAAAACCTCCAAAAATTAGTTTCAATCAACCCCCTCTCATTATTGTGTGGGCTCATCACATTGAAACATCGGTCCTCTTAAGATCACTGAAGTTAAGCAACTTCGAGCTTGATCAGTACCTAGATGGGCGACTGTTTGGGTATAGCGGGTACTGTAACCTGGAATGTGCAGCTGGTGTAATGGATAACGGCTTGAAATTGGAAATCGAACAACTGAGTTCCAATTCCTGTCGGGGTCGTTGTATTCAGGTACGTGCAAATACCATTCGGAAAGTTATTAATCCACTGCTTCTCCCAACAGCTATGGGTTAATTAGTAGAAATTGTATATTAAAAATATCTCAAAAAAAATTCTTACAATCTAAAAATATTTTCTGGCTTTAAATAAAGGGTTGATAAGCTGTTAAAAAAAGTCATCTTTAAAACGTTTTCCGTGAAATATCTAAAAACATAGATACTATAAAAGAGGGGGAGAACAGATACTACAATTTGATCCCAGTCTGGAAGCAGGGAGTTTATACTAGGGATATGACTTTTTGCAACATTATGTTCCTCGATGAAATTTTCTTCAACCATAGCGAAAAAGGCAATAATTTGTTTTATTTCTTGAAAAAGCTCACACACTGCATCCTAAAATGAAAATTTGGTTTTACCATAGACGCAATAAGAGTAAAAAGTCAAAATATTCCAGAAACTTTATTTTTCAATTTGCTAAAGGACTAAGCATAAACTACAAGAAAACAAAATGCATGGTCATCAGTAAGAGGTAGAGCCGGAAATGCGATTTGCAGGTTGGGAACACTAGAATCAAGCAGACGCGGAAGTTTAAATATCTTGGAAGCGTCTTAACAGAGGACGGCAAGTGCGACACTGTGATCCGTAGACGTATTGGGATGGCCAAGGACACATTCCAAAAGCTGGACAGAGTATTACGAGACAGGAGGATTTCTTTGGTAACAAAGAAAAGAATACTCAGCTGTTACGTGACATCTGTCCTCCTTTACGGCAGCGAATGTTGGACGATTTCCTCGAAGATGACGAAGAGACTCGAGGCGACGGAAATGTGGTTCTACAGAAGGATGCTAAGGATATCATAGACCAAGCGTGTGAGCAACGATGAGGTCTTAGAGAGGTTGCAAACAATATAGAGGCTTATAATTAACACCAGGAAGAGGCAGCTGAAGTTTCTGTGACACGTAATGAGGAAGGAGGGCCTGGAGAAACTGATACTCACAAATTGAATAGAGGGAAAGAGAGACGAGGGAAAAGAACGCCTGACGAATCTTTGCTGCAGGGCACAAGTTTCGTCCGGAAAGGTAAACAGGCCCTGAACCCGTTTATACGGGTTCTAATGGAATATTTTTGGCTGATCCTACGGGCTCGGAGAAGACACGGTAAACTCGGCCTTGGACCACATACATCCATCGGGGTAAAGGGCTGTTAAATATTAACAGTCGACCAGATAGAACTCTCTGCCTCGAGCAGAGAGGATCCCGGACGAGGCTTTTCCGAAGGGCAAAGTTTCGTCCATTGAGGTAGACAGGCCCTGAACCCGTTTATGCGGGTTCTAAGGGAATATTTTTGTCCGAGCCTATGGCCTCGGAGAACCTACGGTAAATTCAGTCTTGTGCCACATAGATCTCTTGTGGGGGTGAAAGGCTGTTAAATTTTAACAGTCGAACAAAATCTGTTCGCACTGTGCTGGTCAAACTCTCTACCTGCGGGCGGAGAGGATCTCCAGACGAGGCTATGTCAAAGGGCAGAGTCTCGTCTCGGAAAACAGCTACCCGACCCCGTCCTATACGGGGTCTATGGGGAATTTTTGGCCTAGCCTCCGGGCTCGAATTGTTCCACTTTAAGCTTGGTCTCGTGCCAAATCCTACCTCTGCAACACTTGTTTTATTTCTTTAACCACTTACTTGGTCCCATTACTAATGACCTTGTTCAACCACTGATCACGTCAGATTGTTACAATAATTGCAATATAAACAGTTTGGCTCTATGGGAGTCGAAGAAACATTAGTGTGCCTGAGCATGCATCTGGAACAGGGATTAATAGCCAACATAGCAGAGGGATCTTTTCGCAAACGAGTAGTCAGCAAACCTGTCAATATATATGTATTTATATGTGTGTGCACGGGTGCATATGGTGTGTATATTCATGTGCGTCATGTAAATGTGTGTGTTTATGTGCATATACGCAAACAATTACACTTAATTCAAAAACCTCAATGTTATAGTGTCCTTATAAAATTGGCTACATATTCTTGCGTTTTTATAAAATGTGCTATATGTGATCTTGCGTTTTTATTTTATCTGATCAACGTGTTCTTGAGTTCTTATAAAATCTGTTATACGTGTTCTTTAGTTCTTATATAATCTCCTATACGTGTTCTTACGTTCTTATAAAATCTGTTACACGCGTTCTTCGGTTCTTATAAAATCTGTTGTATGTATTCTTGCCTTATATTATCTGCTATATGGTGTCTTGCATTCTTATAAAATCTGCTATTCGTGTTTTGGTGTTCTTATAACATTTGCTGTACGTGTTCTTACGTTTTTATAAAATCTGTTCTCTACGTGTTCCCATAAAATGTTCTCTACGTGTTCCCATAAAATGTTCTCTACGTGTTCTTGCGTTCTTATACAATCTACTATAAGTGAAGTTGCTACTACAAATTTTCTTTTCAGTCGTTTGTTATTCTCACTTTTCTTGCCGAATCTAGGACCCGCACACCGTCAAAAATAAACCACTCCACGCATCTCCCCATCAAGAAGCTAAAAAACAAGAACTAAAAGGGGGGAGAAAGACAAAATTATTCTCAGCATTTAACCCTCTTCGTCCTGTGAGCCTACCCTCGTCTCTTCGTATGCTTTACGCCTGTCTCATGTGAACGTCTTTCTTTCTTTTTTGTCTCTCTCTCTCTCTCTCTCTCTCTCTCTATCATGGACTCAGTGTCTCGCTTCCCGTTTCCCTTACGTCGCTTCTCGGTTAGAGTCTCCGGTTGCGAGAAAAAGGAAGCCCACAATGAAGGACTTAAAAGCTTTCATGTTCTTCGGACTCCTACAACAACCATATCTGATTTCATAATCCGGGAATTTTTTGTTCGTTGTTGTTATTTTTTTATTTTTTATTTATTTATTTTTTTTGATATTTCAGTTTCTTTCTTTTTTTCATCTTTACTCATTCACATTCATTCGTTTATTTATTCATTCATTTTATCCTGATCGTTACTTTTCTTTCAAAATATCAGTTTTTCATTTTTAGGATTTTACGTTCGAAATATTATTTATTTATTTATTATACAATTTGTCTTTAAGAATTTCTTTCTTACTCCCTTTTTCTTTCTTTCTGTCTTTCTTTTTCTTTTTTTCGTCCTAACTCACTTTCTTTTATTTCTTTATCTCTTTCTTTCTCTTTTTCTTTCTTTCTTTCTTTCTTTCTTTCTTTCTTTCTTTCTTTCTTTCTTTTTATTTCTCTGTTTCTTTCTGTATCTCTTTCTCATTCTTTCTCTCTCTCTCTCTCTCACTTTCTTTTTCTCTTTCTTTCTCTCTGTGCCTTCTTTCGTTCTTTATTTATGTCTGTATTTCTCACTTCTTTCTTTCTTTCTTTCTTTCTTAGTTTCTTACTTTCTTTTTCTTTCTTTCTTTCTTTTTATTTCTCTGTTTCTTTCTTTATCTCTTTCCCATTTTTTCATTCATTCATTCTCTCTCTCACTTTCTTTTTCTCTTTCTTCCTCTCTCTGTCTTCTTTCTTTCTTTCTTTATTTCATACTTCATTCTTAATTTATTTCTCCCTCTCTTTCTTTTTTATTCCTAACTCACTTCCTTTTTCTCTTTCGTTTTTTAATTTTTTATCTTTCTTTCTCTTTTTCTTTCTATCTTTTTTTCATTTTTCTCCCTTTCTCTTTCTTTCTTTCTTTCCTTCTTTCTTTCTTCTTGTTTTTTACTTATTCATCCTCTTATTCATTGGTTAATTTTGATATTACCACTATTTTTCATTCTCCTTTTCTTCAAAATTTCTTCCTTCCTCATTCATTTTGTTTTCTTATTCATTTATTTATTTTCAAATACACATTATATATATATCTCTCTATGAAGTTCATTCTTTCTTCTTTTCTCTCTGCCTTCCTCGCCTACTTTTTTCTTTCTTTACTTTTACTCGTTCTTTTTGCTAGGATCGCTAAACTTTCTTTCTTTCTTTTCATCTTTCTCATTTTAAATTCTTATTCATTCATTCATTTTACGATACTTATCATTCCTAAAGATTTTTACTTCTCCGTCTTCGGTCGAATTTATCAAAATATCATGAATTAATTTTTCATTCGAAAAAATCTTGAAATATAAAACAAAAAAAAACACGTACAGAACAGTTAAAACAGGTCAAGGAAATTAAAAGCTTAGTCCTTTATAGTGAAAAAAAATGGCAGAGATTTAAGATTTTAAAATTAATCAGAGGAGAACCACCCCATATACTTAAGGGGTTTTATTATTGTTAAAAGAAAGGTTTGAAACACAATACCAACGAGAGAGTTTTTGTGTCTTTTCCCTTTAAAGATACTTCTTAAAATATCTAAAGCTAATGTTAAAAGCAGTTTTAAAAAAATGAGAATGTTAACCCCCTACCACATACACACTGAAAGGAAACTATCATACAAAAATATTAAAATAAAAAGCATTAGAAAATATTCCAGTTTTTCTTTTCTTCATTTTCACAATTTCTGTTTAATTCCTGTCCATCATGGCGGCCATTTTCATACACTGCTGTTTTTGTCGTCCATTTTGTTTTCTTGAATTTTTTTTTTTTTTTGTTCTTATCATTTTTTGAGTAAATTTCTTTCGCTTTCTCTGTCCTTTTTCTTTTACTTTCCCTTCTCTTTTATTCCACTTCCTATTACACATCTCCCTCCGGTCCTTCTTTTTATTTTGATATTTTTTTTTTATTAATTTTTATTTTTCATTTTTTTTCTTTTCCTTTTATGCCCTGCCTTTATTTCACTTTTTGCTCTGTTCGGCCTAATGTCTTGTTCAGCTGAAGCTCTCCTACGCCACGCCTTCTCCTCCTCCTCTCTTGTTTCACTAGAACCAGTATCACCCCCTACCCCACTTTCCCACTAATACTCTCTTCCACCTCCGGACTACTTTCAACTTTGAAAAAAAAAAATTATTTTATTTCTTTTGATTTCTTTTCTTTTATATTTTAAGGGAAAAAAAAGATTTTTTCAGACGTTGTCTCAAATGACGAGGCTTAATACTGGGAACCTTTGCCCTGCATCGGGATGACCTATTTTCTTGATCGGATTCATCAGCCTATCGTCATACATTCAATTAGGCCGAAGGGGTGTTATCCACGAGGTTATTCGCCTTTCACTCAATCATTCACTCGATCACTCTTCTTCGGTTCTTCCTTATTTTATTTCTCTGTCTTCTCTTTGGTTTGTTCCTGTATTCTTCATTCCTATGTTTTTTCTTCTTCTTTTACATTTTCTTTCTTTCGTTCAAAAGATTATTGTTCAATTTTTGCCTTTTTTTACTTTCTTTCTTTGAAGTGATTCTTTTCAAAACGTTCTTTTTTTCTATCTTTATTTCTATTTGTCTGTATTTTCTTTCTTTTTCTGACTTTTCATTTCTTTCTTTTTCTTCCTTTCTTTCTTCCTTCTTTCTTTCTTTTTCTGATTTTTCTTTTCTTTCTTTTTCTTCCTTTCTTTCTTCCTTCTTTCTTTTTCTGACTTTTCTTTCTTTTTCTTCCTTTCTTTCTTCCTTCTTTCTTTCTTTTTCTGACTTTTCTTTCTTTTTCTTCCTTTCTTTCTTCCTTCTTTCTTTTTCTGACTTTTCTTTCTTTTTCTTCCTTTCTTTCTTCCTTCTTTCTTTCTTTTTCTGATTTTTCTTTTCTTTCTTTTTCTTCATTTCTTTCTTCCTTCTTTCTTTCTTTTTCTGACTTTTCTTTTTCTTCCTTTCTCTCTTCATTCTTTCTTTCTTTTTCTGACTTTTCTTTCTTTTTCTTCCTTCCTTTCTTTCTTTCTTTCTTTCTTCCTTCTTTCTTTCTTTTTCTGATTTTTCTTTTCTTTCTTTTTCTTCCTTTCTTTCTTTCTTTCTTTCTTCCTTCTTTCTTTCTTTTTCTGATTTTTCTTTTCTTTCGTTTTTCTACCTGTCTTTTGTTCTTCTTTCTTTCTTTCTTTTTCTGATTTTTCTTTTCTTTCTTTCTTTCTTTCTTTCTTTCTTTCTTTCTTTCTTTCTTCCTTCCTTCTTTCTTCCTTCTTTCTTTCTTTTTCTGATTTTTCTTTTCTTTCTTTTTCTTCCTTTCTTTCTTTCTTCCTTCTTTCTTTTTTTTTCTGATTTTTCTTTTCTTTCTTTTTCTTCCTTTCTTTCTTCCATCTTTCTTTCTTTTTTTGACTTTCTTTTCTTTGTTTTTTCTTCCTTTCTTTCTTTTGTATCTTTCTTTATTTCTTTGATAGGATTCTCTGGAAAACTTTCATTTTTTTCCCCATATTTATTTCCTGGTTAGTCTATATTTTCTTTTTCTGTCTTTTTTTCTTTTCTTTTCTTTTCTTTTCTTTCTTTCTTTCTTTCTTTCTTTCTTTCTTTTCTTTCTTTCTTTCTTTCTTTCTTTCTTTCTTTGCGTGACTCTCTGTAAAATGTTAATTTTCTTCTATCTTTATTTCTTCCTGCCTCTTTCTTTCTTTGGCATGATTCTCTGTAAAAACCTTCATTTTTTTATATTTTTCTTTCTTTCTTTCTTTCTTTCTTTCTTTCTTTCTTTCTTTCTTTGCGTGATTCTTTGTAAAACCTTAATTTTCTTCTATCTTTATTTTTTCCTGCCTCTTCTTTCTTTCTTTCTTTCTTTCTTTCTTTCTTTCTTTCTTTCTATGCATTTTTCCGTTCAATCCACTCACTCTGTCTACCCAATGTTTATTCCCTCTATTCACCCTCTTGCAGATTTTCATTCGATATCGTTGCTTTCCTTTGTTCTTTCTTTTTTGTGGGGGTGGGGGTGGTGGCGGCGGATGTTCTATCCTCTTTTTCGTTCCAATTTCCAATGATTCTTTCATTCTTTGCACTATGTGAACTTTCTTTCTTTTTCTTTCCGTTATTCACCATTCCTCTCTATATATCGCCTTTCACGCTCTCACTTTCTCCTCACCCTTCCCGTTTCTCTTTCTTCTCCTCCCCCTTCTTCGCATCGTCTTTGACTTTGCGGTCGGATAACAACAAACTGCATTATTTTAGTTAATTCATAATTTTTTGATTTTTTTGTTTGACTGAGTCTTTTTTTATCGTTTCTTTTAATTTGTTTCTTTTTTTCATCTTAGCTTGATTTTTATGCCATTTTTATTGGATTTTTATTTTACTCTTTATTTTGTTATAATTTTCTCCTCTTTTCTGGTATTTCTCCTTTGAACTTTAACAGCCAAAGTATGTTTCTAGACTTCATTCATTTCATTCATTCAGACAGTCATCCATTCTCTCGTTCATCTATTCCTCCATTTTCTTTTATTCATTTACTCGCTTGCTCACTCACACATTCAATAATTTACGTCAGTTTTTTTTTTTCTTCTTCCATACTTTTTTTTATTTTTGTCATTTTCCTCCCTTACTTTTCTATTTCTGCCATTATTATTCCGAATAATTTCGATTACAGCACCATTTATTTTCGTCTATTTTTTCAATGTTCATTGCTTCCTGTCTCATCCTTGTGTCGTCTGCTTCTTTCATTTATTTTAAAATGTCGTATTTACAGTGAACCATCATTTCGAGGTAGAGTGCAAAAGGAAAGAAAAAAAGAAAAGAAACAATAATGCTACATAATTATTTACTAAGCATAACTTAGATATGGCACAAGGTCACAAATATAGAGCACCCAATAAGAATCAAACTTCTTAACCACAGCCATTTCAATGCGATGGTATGAAGAAATATCCTTTATAGAAAATGGAGCGTCCATAAAAGCGATTCAGGATAATTTCATAGGAAATTATGAAAAAAATTGGAAAGATTATATTGAATCAGTTTCTAGATCTGCTTCTAGGAAAGGATCATGTCAGAATGTATCTTACATATTTATAAGTTTACCATTCGTCTTTGCTTTGAATATTACTGCCTCATAAGGTCTAGTAGCCCTGCTATATATTTGGAGATTTTTGATAAAATCCAAATAATAATCTTCAATATTATTGGTTATAACCTAACATCTCGGCTTCAATCACTTTCCTACCGCTTCCCTGGTAATTACAATTTGGTCTGCAGCTAGAGAAGTTGGTTCACTGTGCCGTGCCATACAATTTTCTTGTCAGAATGTATCTTTCATATTTATAATTTACCATTCGTCTTTACTTCGAACATTTCTGCCTCATAAGGTCTGGTACTCCTGCTATATATTTGGAGATTCTTGATAAAATTCAAAGAAGACTCTGCAATATTATTGGTCCTGACCTAACATCTCGGACTCTAATGATTTTCCTACCGCCGTAACATAGACCCATTGTGCTTTTTTTCTGTAATTTTTTCTTCTCTCGCACTTCTCGCTTGTGGAAATCTTTTCAAGTTCCTTGACTCCTAATCAACTTTGATCTTCAAAAATTCAAATCCAATGCCAATCGCTATCTTCTGTCTTCCGAATTCTTGTTCTTTTAGTGACCTCTCTTTCTAATTGTATATTTTCCTCATATCCTCTCAAACGCCGTAATCCCTTTTCTGTTAGTGGCTTTATTGCCTTACTTGGGGTGAAATGATTTTAAAAAAGTGTAACTTGAGTAAAATACAAAGAATAATCTGCTGTTAAATGAGGCAATGAATGATTTGTTAATTTTAACGCTTCCAAAGTGAAACTGCTCTTTTTAATTATCTGAGAGAACCAATTTTAATTTCCATCGGCATGTCTGATACTAACCTTCTGTAGAGTGACAAATTTCGCCTGGAATAACGTTTTTCGCTGGCATGAAGTGGAATTTTAATATTAATTCCATTACTTGAATCCATTACAATTTGGTCTGCAGCTAGAGAAGTTGGTTCACTGTGTCGTGCAATACCATTTTCTCGCCAGAATGTATCTTACATATTTATAAGTTTACCATTCGTCTTTGCTTTGAATATTACTGCCTCATAAGGTCTGGTACACCTGCTATATATTTGGAGATTCTTGATAAAATCCAAAGAAGAATCTGTAATATTATTGGTTCTAACCTGACATCTTGGCTTCAATCACTTTCCTATCGCTTCCCTGGTAATTGTTCTAATGAATCTTCCTCTATAATATAGTTGTTATTTGTATTCCCCACCCCAATAGACAAATTGTACACAAGGGAACTAGTTAGAACTTCATAGAGACTGTGAGGTATTATGGTAGCTGTAGTAAAAATGCTAAGTAAGAATGTGTTGTTTTGGTGTAAGGAATACTGTGGTATATTTGAGTCAGTATTTGTGGCTAGCTAAGTTTTAGATAAGACATATTGAAGACCAGCTTTCCCCTCTACCCCCTCTTGGCCTTGTGCCACATTTCCCTATTTTCAAAATAAATATTACTTTCCTCTATAGTAACTAGACTTTATGAATTTTAATTTAATTTATACTAGATTGGCGGAAAGGTTTCTTCATTTTATAGTTGAAATCGCTATATGTAATCGTAAGTTCTATAGCAGTTTCTTCTATCGCGCTTCCTGCTTGTGGAATTTCCTTCTGTCTTATTGCTTACCCAGTCAACTTTGATCTTCAAAAATATAAGAGCTATATCAATCGTTATCATCTTAATTCCAGTAATTTTATTGTTCTCGATCCTTAATAGTGTTCTTTTTTTTCTCATATTCTCTAACACTTAGTAACCCCTTGTGTATTTGTGACTTTATTGTCTTGATTAAAAAAAAGAAGTCCTTTCGCATCTTTGCCATGATTACTTCATTTTTATATTCTAATTTATTTTCGTTCTTTACATATTACTGAATATCAGAGTCGGTAAATTTTATATCGATTTTACTCTTTTAAAATAAATTTAGATATCAGACACTGTCGCCCTGTGTGTTAACCATGTTCACCATAGTCTATGAATATAGAATACAGCGCAGTACGTTATTTGTTCAATTAAACAACGTTAAAGATTAATACTCACGAGTCAGACACTCTACTGAATCTGACTATATCGCCAATACCACCAGCAGCTGTTCCGTAATTCTTCAGTCTTCGATATCAAAGGCTGTCAGTGAATATTCGGGAAAAAACATGGCCGCCTTTAAACACGTCGCATTGAATATTTTGAGCCTTCTGATTGGTTAACCCTTCTATTGGTGAACTAGAAAATGTGTCAGCTCATTTTAGTTGGCTCACTGCCACCCAAAAATTCTAACACTGTGGTTTCCAAACTCTTTTGGATTACCGTACCAAAACACAACCCTAATCTCTCCCCACAAATCTATAGTCAAACTTCGACTGGATTTCTTTAGTTCTAGTACTGCAAGTCAAATGAGTATTTCCCACAATAATTGTTATATAAATAGGATACATTGTAAAGCGAAGACAAGATACACTTTGGGTACAATTTGTGTATGTCTCGTGTATGTTATGGTTCAGATGCCATCGACACCTCCTTGTCACACAATTTTTCTCATCGCACACCTGAATTTTTCCACCCGCTGCATACAGTACTGTCTACTTTGGGAATCACTGTCGTAGGCTGTATGAAACAATAAAAAAAGAGCTCTTCAGCACCAGAAGCACTAAAAAAGATTCGTTCTGTCTATGAAAATAAAGCTTTTGGTGTCTGGACATGCCAAATCGTTAAATTTTCTCTTGAAGACACCCTTTGACCTGGACGACAGAGTTATGCAAATATTGAGATTTTGCAAACCGCAGGTGAAGCAAGTCCTAAGGAATCTGCACACTTCGTTCGGAAAAGACATTCAAGAACTCGGAAAAAATGTCTAAGGTTGATCAATCGGAACCTCGTCATCTGAGTTACCCTTTTTATTCCTATTGAATGGAAATCTTACTATCGAATCTATCCAGGTTAGAATTATCTGGTAGAGTCGATATAAGTTTAACCGGATAAGTTAATTCTGTAAAATCTGACTTGAAAAGATCAGGTCATATTTTACTGCGTAAAAGACGCATTTTTCCCATAAAATATCTTCAAAAACCACATTGCATCTTGTGTAACGAAGATAGGCGACAGGAGTTAACTTTTTTTTGGAATTGTTACATTCCAAATAGTGATGTGATGAATTTTTTTAAAGATTAATCCTGGTTCTCCTGCTGAAATATGCTATTCAGTGGCTAAACTTGGCGATATTGCGAAGTACTATGTATATGAGAGCTTTTTCAATTTTTCTTCCTTCAAAAGTTTTTGGGGTCATATAATGCATCGGAGTGTCTTATAAGTAGAGAAAAACTGTAAAACTTTACATTATTCGGACTATTGTTCTCATCTTTGTCGCCATATTTATTACAACGTTTCCGCCTTTCAGTATCTGTCTATATTTCTGAGATGAGGTATTATGTACACTATTTACATTATTTGGACTATTGTCCTCATCTTTGTCACCATATTTATTACAACGTTTCCGCCTTTCAGTATCTGTCTATATTTCTGAGATGAGGTATTATGTAAACTATTTACATTATTCGGACTATGGTCCCTATCTTTGTCGCCATATTTATTACAACGTTCCCGCCTTCCAGTATCTGTCTATATTTCTGAGATGAAGTATTATGTACACAATTTACATTATTCGGACTATTGTCCTCATCTTTGTCGCCATATTTATTAGAACATTTCAGCCTTTCAGTATCTGTCAATATTTCTGAGATGAGGTATTATGTAGACTATTTACATTATTCGGACTATGGTCCCTAACTTTGTCACCATATTTATTACAACGTTTCGGCCTTTCATTATCTGTCTATATTTCTGAGATGAGGTATTATGTACACTATTTACATTATTCGGACTATGGTCCATATCTTTGTCGCCATATTTATTACAGCGTTTCGGCCGTTGTACGCTCCAGCGTTATTCTGGTGGTTGGAAAGTCGAACTGAACCCTTTATTTCGCTCACTGGGCTAGACTGTTCTAGTTCCACGTGCCATGTTTAATGGATGTCACTTATCAATTATCTCCTGTTAATTCTCCTCTCCAATTTCTCCACTACTTTAACTGAGTATTGAACTCATACTCTTTGGGTCCTATCATTGGATCTAACCAACGCCTTTATCCACTGTGCCATGTGTCCTTGAGGACAAAGAAG